CCCCCCCCCCCCCCCTACCTCTCGATCTCCCCTCCTCCTTCCATCAGGATTTCCGCAATACAAACATAACCTGCTATTCATGTCAGTTCAGACCAGAGGCTGTCGACGCCAGGGCACTCTTTTTAGCAGCGTTGTGCTTTTTCAATGCGATCGCCATCTCTTGGAGGAAATCGGTTACCGATGCCTGCAGCAAAAAACGACATAGCGTCGATAGACTCGATACCGAACATCTCTCGTCAGTTTTTAGAAGTCATAGAGCAGTAATCGTTGGATTACGACCATGATAACATACAACATACGCACGACAACGCACGACAACGCACGACAGGACTTTGCGGCATATCCATCCAACCTCAAAGACAGCTAAGCTAAATTATCAATACAAAACGTCCTAATGCGAGCGAGTGAGTCTGGCCTTATTTAATCATATCATTACTCGACGGTAAGCTGGTCAACGAGTTGCTCAATTCGCAGATAACGGTCCGGATTTCTCTAGAGCTGAACGGTTCGGATTGCTCTACAGCTGACGCAGTTTGTGATTCTGCCACTGGCGCCTCTAGTAGTCATAAAAAAAAACATAGATGAGAGTGAAGAAAAGCATGCGCCATCTGCCTCGTAAACGGAAAAGGAATGAGGAATGCGCCACTGGACCCCAGATAGGAAGGCGGACGGCATTTGAAGTCCAAACCGCCAGTACAGCTTGAGAATCACGAAAAAGCCTCTCGAAATGTTCCGGGCCCCGGGACAGAGGCCGCTTGGGGAATTGTTTTTTTTTTTTTCAGCGCCGCGCCTCGTTCCACCCCGAGGCACTGGACTCAGGACCTGGGACCCAGAAACTTGTTTTATTTTCAGTGCCGCATCTGGTTCCACCTCGAGACACCGGACCTTTTTTTTTTTTTTTTTTTTTTTTTTTCCCMCCCCACCGTCGGAGCCTCTGTCCCGAGGCTCCACAGTTTTAGGAGAGGCTCAATCGTGCCGATTCTCAACATGGCTGGGGCCATGTCCCAGGAAACAAAAAAAGAAAAAAGAACAGGAGAAAGAACACAGAAGCCAGCAGCTAGGCTACCAGAGTGGCCCAGGTCCCCACTTGCCCGGTCGGTCCAAAAAAAATACGTATAATGATTTTTAATTCTATTTTTTATTTTAAATTCGGTAAAGATTCTAAAGAATTTCGATGTGACCCTGCGGCAAACGTTGTTCAGTTTATTTTTCTGCATAACATTTTTTTTAATTTTTCAGATTGTTTTTTATTTTTTTATTTTTTTTGCTGGAACCACCTATGGTCCTTGCACGGCCGGGCCGCCCGGGACAATAAGGTGACCCGCGCAGCCCGGCTGGTAGCCTAGGCCAGCGGCAAATTTACTATCCTACTACGATTGCAGACTCTCCTTCCGCAAAGAAACAGGACATGCACAACCTATTCCTTCCGACTTATTTGGCAAACGTGTTGCAGATTGTTCTCCGTCTGATCGGTCGCTGGGAATGTCAACGGAGTCGAAAAGACTGATCTCTGGCCTCGCACAAACTCGAACACGGCATAGATTCCGGTAGAGAACAGTAAAAATCAGCAGACAATCATTAGAAATAAAAAATGATTATTTCAATTTATTTGACATCCGTAGAAGCACGCCATATAGGAAGCAAAACAAACTACCGTCTTACTAACTCCAAGTAAATAAAATGCACGTACTTTGTATACGAATCCAACATACGGGGTACCTGACTGTTCTATTGGAATACCTCGTACGTCCTATTCGAATGCAATGTATGTGCATTACACAATGGATTTCAGAGTACAACTAACTTTTCGGGACCCCAGTATCAATTTATTTTTTTCTCGGATTCGGTTGGGAATTTCGACAGGGCTCTCAGGCAAAGTGATTTTGCATTGCAATGTTGTACAACATTCTTTTCACATTCGGTCGGGCATTTTTTGAAGCTCTTTGAAAAAATGATATTCCGCAAAATTCAGAGAACAGGGTCTCAGACATCACATGGCCCAAATACAACGTACGTACGTTGTATTCAGACATACGTTCTATTCAAAGGGGAAAAAAAAAGAAGAAAAAAAAGTGATTTCTGAGAACCCGTTTTCAGAGATAAGTTAAACAAGAAAGTATGTGCATGAGGGGAAAAAAAAAAAAAAAAAGAACGTACGGGCGTTTTTCAGCAGTGAAATCCATGAGACAGTAGTGAAATACACACCAAAGTGACCAAACTCGTTACAAAAATAATTTCCAAACTCAGCCTTCAGAGAGAGAATACCGACAAACAAAATAGTGTGCGAGCATGAGCACAAGAGCGCATGCACATACAAAATAGTGAGTGAGCATGAGCACAAGGGTGCACACAAACACACCACACACACACACACACACAACAAACACACATACACACACAGACACAGACACACACACACACACACACACACACACACACCACACGAAATAATTCACCTGATGGATAAGCCTTGATGATCCCCAGCCGGAGCTTCCATCCACACTTGAAAGCTGCACTGGACGCTCTGCTCATAGGCACCACCCAATCATCAGCCAACACATAGTGAGCTAATATGCCTCAGCGGAAACCATGACAGGCTTTCCGACACATCCCATCGCATCCATCGCATCGTGTTGCATCGCAGTCAAAACAATCAAATTTTTGCCCGTCTCAAGTGCAGAGAACAATCATTGAACCACATCTGCTGCAACACAACGCTTATTACATTTGCTAAATTATCAAACATGGTTGCATACCGTTAAACAGCCAGTACACGGCCCCAACCTCGTAGAAATTTGTTCATTGCCTACTTCGAAAACGTCGCGGCTTGGGCCTGTTGGACCACAATGGCTGGCGGGGCCAGCCAAAAAAATAAAAACAGCGCGCCTCCGGCGCTTCGGCAAAGCTTGGCACGCAATGCAGTGCCTCCAGCCCCGGTTGTACTCGTGGTTAAGTAGTGAGTAATGCTGTTACATTGCTAAACATTGTTAAGTGTAGTCAAGTACTGCTTTTTTTTTTTTTTTTTTTCAGTTAAGTACTGTTAAATATGGTTAGACACCGTTCGATATTGTCCAATAATATTAATAATATAAAGAATTGGACATTCTAAAATACAGTTGCAATTCATTACAAAACTTATGTTTATAACCCTTCACCGGTTCCACAAGACTTTCAGCACTCTGTGCCGCGCTCCGTATCTTCCAACAAGACAATGAGCAAGTATTCTCACACAGCATGCATGCAATGAATAGCAAAGCAGTTTCTTAAACCTGCGACGTCGACCGAAAAAAGTATCAGTGGCAGCAGGGAGCAGAAGTACACCGCTTTCACACTATGTTGTGAGCCCCTTGCCAGTAGAGACCTAAAGGGCGGAAATTCACAAGACCCAAGAGGAGCAGTGTCAAAACTGACTAGCCCGCTACCATCTTCGCCCGAGTAGAACGCACGGGGTAATTATTGACATACGTGGACTGAACGTTGCACCAAATACAGCTATAATGACCGGGGGCGTTCTATTTAGGTGAAGAACGGTAGGCGTAGCACCGAGATTCACCAGTCCAAGACCTGAAAAGCATTGCCCGCGAAGCCCCTTCCAGGGGTCAGCGGTGAACAGCATGTGGGGTAGAGCCTGCAGAACACAAAAAGGGGTTTTACGGTTTTACCCCTCCCAATTCCGCTCTGCTGACCGACAAGTGAGTGGCAACTGGATTTCACACCACGCACAGCACTAAGCGCTAAACGTTTACGTCACTCTACCACGACCACTATAACAACCCGGGCTGTATATATTGTCACACTGTAAATCAGAGCGCGAAGGCGAAAAAAAGCAAAACAAGGAAAGGAAAAAAAGAAAGGAAGGAAAGCCCCAACTGTTCATCACCTCTTACGTACAAGGCCAGCCACGTGTATGACAGGTTGAGAGCTGGCTGCCCCCATCCACGTGTGCCACAAGGACCCACTCGCACGCAGCCAAAAGACAAAAAAGAGATGTAAAGAAAAGGAGGAGGAAACCAAAACTGACAGGGAAACAAAGTGTATCAGTCAAACAAAGCAAATGACACATCCCACAGATAATCCAATTGTCACAAAGCAAATACCACATCCCATAGATCAACATATTTTTTCTTTTTTCTTTTTTCTTTTTTCTTATTTTCTTTTTTTTCTTTTTTTTTTCTTTTTCTTTTTTTCTTTTTTTCTTTTTTTCTTTTTTTCTCTTTAACTGTCCCCACCTCGGCAGATAGGACAGCTACCGTGAGGATGATGTGGATGTTCACAAGGATACCCAAGGAGGGCTGCGCCAGCACAGCATTCAGCAGGACGACTAGCACGAACCATCCCATCAAAACAGTCCTGACAGAGGACATCTTGTCCACACGTGTCAAAAAAAAAACAGCAGGACGTTCATCACAGTGCGGCATCATGCAGTTCTGATAGCGTCCTAGGGCACAAAAGGGACAACGTATATCTGGGTGACAGGGATGTGTACAATGATGAAATGTTGGACACCTTCAGTACAGACGGCGGCTATGGCATAGATGATGCATCCCACAGCCAAGGCGCATCGCGTCTCTGTCCCGACAGGTGTCACACGAAAGTCGGTCAATAATCCAGAATAAAGTATAATTTGACAATGCACCCAAAAATTCATTAACGTCAAAAATAGCTTGACTCATCGTCCCACCATCCCACAGTTCCCACTGGGCAGCTGCACGAATGAGTGCCATATAATGCCCGGGTCTGTGCAAAATACAGGCAGAAATGTCCGGATGGTCATTAAGGTCATCGCCTGGCGTTGCATGATGCATAAAAAGAAGGTCGCGACCGTGGAATGCTACCGGTAGTCGTAAGACATTTACAGTAAAGCCTCCTGAGGTAGTATAATTACTACCTTCAGGAGGTGGACCATTATGGTCATACAACAACTGATTTTCAACAGCGTCAAGCTGATAAGCAATCGTAAGAAATTGGGATGCACTATAACATTGACGCTGATAAGCCATTGAGGTAGGCAGACATTTGTGGCTGTCAAACCACAAATGTTTGATAGGTCTGCCTGCAGATCCGAATCGGTCACCACTGGAAAGCCAGATCTGATCTGGCAGGGTCGGCGCATAAATGACGAATGCCGTCGACGTGGTAGAGCAGGCTGCCGGTAAGACAAAGAACCCCGCAGATTACCATCAATATGACGCCGAGAAGGAGGGGGACTGGGAGAAGGGGAGAATGAACAAGCCTGCCGACGTCCCAATATGGACAACGAAGATAAGGGAGGGTCAGGTCTCAGCCGGCATGGGGAAGAAGAAGAAGAAGAAGAAGAAGAAGAAGGAGGAGGAGGAAGAGGAGGAGATGACAAAAAAGAAGAGGATGCAGGCAATGAGGGAGGAGAAGGAGAGGGAGGGGGAGAGGGAGAGGGAGAGGAAGGCAGAGGGGAAGCGGAAGGGGAAGGACGGGGAGAAGAAGGGAGAGATGGAGAGG